TCACAGCAGTAAAGCTATGGCGACAGCACTGAGCTATAATTCTAACTGGAGGTAGCACTGAATGTCAAAGATGCGTGTCGCCAGCCGCCATGTTTGCGTGAGTCTGGTGTCATAAGAAGCCATATTATTGCTATAACTATTATTATACTTGGCTTAAAATACCTACTTTGTATGGTCGCCATTTCAAAGAAAATTATTAAAGTATTAAAAGTATTCAAGTATGACAAAAATACTCACTGCTATACCAACCTAGTTATAAGAAGCCATGTCATTGCTATGATAAGAAAACTTACTGCTATACCAACCTAAGGCCGGGGCCACACGTGGCGGATCGTCCGCGCGGCTTATGATCGTACGATCATAAGCCGCGCGACGATGTCCCGGCCACACGGAGCGGATGAACCGCTTCCGGTTGAGGTTTCCCAGCCTACGTACTGAGATTCTAACATGGTTTAATTCACTCGTTCTCGTTGTAGTCATGGAAGAAACACGTGCATTAGAAGCGTATGGTGAGCTAGAGCCTAAGGCAAACCAAAATCATTGGGTCCATCATTTCATAACCGATAAACCATTTGTGTTCCAAACCTTTTAAAAGCACATGCGAAACCATAGTTCGGAGTCTTTTTTGTTACTATCGCATGTAGATAGCATCGTTTGACGAGCTACTTCAATTGCTTTGACCGCATATAACTAAGGAAGATATACTCATGAGAAATGTACAACATGAGAAATCCCACATTATCTTTAACAAGTTCTATCGATTTGTCTGTATCGAACATTTTACACCTATAAACAGAAATTCACAAGCACAAACTAAAAAAACCCACTACAAATGCTTGAAAATGAGCTCCAACCGCGCGGACAATCCGTATCGTCTGGCCACTCTCATAAGACTACATGTGTCATCCCCTCCAACGCGGCTTATGATCGCGCGGACAATCCGCGACATGGCGCGGACAATCCGCCCAGGCGGCTTAGGATCGCCCCGTGTGGCCACTCTCATTTGATTCAATGTGTTGTCGGACCACGCGGATCATCCGCGTGGTCCGTCCGCGCGGATGATCCGCGTCGTGTGGCCCCGGCCTAACAAAATCAGCGACACGCTTTTGACAGACTTCTGCCATGGCAGTGCTACCTCCAGTTATAATTTTAGCTCAGTGGGCGACAGAGACCAGCCGACAAGACGCATTACAGTAATAAAATTCAAAAAATCGTAGTAAATTCAGTTTTTGTGGCAGCAGAAAAATTTTTGCACCATTATTTTCAGGTAAAAATCTAGTTTCCAATGATATATAACTTACTATAGAACGCTTGGTCACCCCCATCTAAATAATTTCCCCATTTTCTTCAGCCTATGTCTGGCAGTTTTTACCTGAAGATCAATTTTCCTACCACTTATGAAAAGAGTTAACATTTCAGCACCAACAATGTGTGTGATCAATTAAATGCCTTAAAGCCTTGGTTTCTCTGAACCACGCTGCGTTATTGCGTGATCCGTGATTTGCGATATGCGGGAATCACGCGTGCGTGATAAAAAATGAGGGTGTTTTCTATGACACCATCCTCGCAGCGCGCGATTATATTTTCAGCCATGTTGGCCATGTACAACATAGATTTCAGATTTGTTGCCGTAGCTTTGCTGCTGGAGGAAGAAGATAATAAAGAAAATTTACCTGTATATTTAGTAAAAAAAGACTCTTTAGCATGGAGGAAGAAGGGTGTTTTAGAATTATAATTACCAGGCATTAAATTGAACAATGAAAGTAAGTTTCGGGAATTTGTTAGGCTTTCAAAACAGTTGTTTTGAGTATGAGTACTACGGTATTCCCTATATGGGAAATTCGCTAAAAACCTATTTCACCATTTTAAAAGTTGTGCTTGACACTATTAATTGTCCAACATTCTTCTTGATTCCATTGTTCTTGTAGTTCTTTTGGGTGAAACAATATTGTACTGAAAGCTTTTCATAAAACTTGGCAGTAAAAACCTTGGATTTCATAGTTACAGTTTCATTAACAACACAATTATCAGTCACCAACAGATGAACAGATGGGAATAACTACTGCGTGCCACGCAAAACGTCTGGGGTCCCAGACTTCAGTGCGTCGCGCAAAGGAATCACGCATTACTAAATTGGCGGGAATCACAGAGAATTGCGCACGTAAAGTCAGAGAAAACACCCCCGTAGCAATAGCTGCGACAGACTTTTGCGTGATTACGTCATCACGTATCCCGCAGTGACGCTGCGTGGTTCAAAGAAACCAAGCCTTAAGAGTGGAAAACATTAAGATAAGGGGTTGTGTGTAGGGCAGCAGGAAAGTGTGTTAACCCTCTTAAAAAGTGGTCTAAATCACTATATAGCCTCAGTGTTGGGGATCACCTATAGAGTGCAATTTTTTAATCAATAAATCAAGGAAATAAAATAATGTTTTCTAGATGAGTTTGGATGAAAACATATTGTTGAAAGCAGCACATGCCTAATTTCTGAGTGCTAAGAGGGAAGTATGGACAATTTAATTTGTACTCTATTTTCATCATAATCAATGATAATTCCAAATTTCTACAGCTACATTTCTTAGGTGATGAATTAGTAAAAGTTTACCCAAGTGAAGAGCAGGCAGAACAACTAGTTTTAAAACAATTCTTTAAAACTATTTATCCTCCTCCTATGTATTAAAAAAAAATAAATAAATAAATAATCTTCAGTCTTTATTTATGTGAATTTTTATTTAATTTTTGTTTGAATGAATGAAGGATGAAAAGAGGTGGATAACAATAAGACAACCAACACCAAACTCAATGATAAAAATGTTTATTTCACACATTTAATACAAATAAATGCACAAACAAAAACATTGAACTTATTACTAATAAAAAAATCTTATTTATGTCAAATAAAAATAATATTATGCACTTTAAAGAGCAGAGTGAAAAAATATGGAAACCATTCCTTTAAGTTAATGTATACCACACAAATATTTAAAGGCTGGTTTACAAAAGTTGAGTTTGAAGACTTAGCTCACCTCTTTAATTTATCATGAGTCGACGGACTTGTTAAGAAACTCCTGTTACAAAATGTCAAGTGAGAAAGGAGAATCATAATGTAATTAGAGAATTGGTAAAAGAAAGTTGTAGGTTGATAACTAAAAAGAAAAAAACAAAAAAACTTAGAGGGTGTCGATTTTATACCTGATCACCAGGATCACCTGAAAATAGATAAAACCCGTATCTATGAATTCTTTACTTTCTACGTGATAAACATAAGAGGTTATTTAACTGGTTCCCCTTTCGCTTGACATAATGTATTTTATACAGTAGAGTCCCGCAAACTCAGTGTAATTTGGACTGGAAGGGTGCTGAGTTTGTGAAATACGATCGGGAACTAGGGTTAACAATTAGAACAATAAAGTTTTTAAGCTTTTTAGTCGCATTTTTTATTTGTATTAGAAGTCAGTATTAAGTCATCAGATATAGCACAACAAATTCTTAGTACCAGTTGCGAATAATTTGACTTAAGCTGGCTTGAGTCCATGATTAACTCGGGACTCGAAAAATCACTAATTTTCTGAGCCAGGTGATTGCCGAGTTATCCAGACTGCCAGGTTATCGAGTGCCGAGTTTGCGGGACTCTACTGTACCTCAAATCTGCCTGTCATTTTTTTTCACTCACCTTTGATTCAACACAGAAGAATTTCATGCATTTTAAAACTTTCTTGCTAAACGAACCAAATAACTGAAAGTCACAAAAATAAAAGTGCTTTAGTAAGAATTAGTTCAGTTTAAGTGTTGTAACATATTTCAACATTTTCCGTAATCGTTTGGTAGTTTTTCATAAACAAAAGCTATGGTCAACTGCCTAAAAATCATTAAAAACAGTTATCTTATCGTGTGTCCTTGTTCTTATCAGTTTCAATATGTACATTTTTTCATTGATTTGTTATCCGTTGTAAGTAGTTTGTAAATATGCTGTCAAATGATCAGGATTCAAAGGTATCAAGTGGGTATTTTTTGTTGAGCGTGACAAGTTAATTATTATTTTTTGTATATTCAGACCAAATTAAGAAATTTCCATATAAAATTACTGATACATAACCAGTAAGCTATTATGAGTAAACTTGAACAAACCTTTATAGTTTGGCCGCTTAGAAAACGACCTGCGCGCTAATGCTAAACCAATGCTGGAGGAGGTTGCTTTCTAAGCGGCCGAACTATAGTTTTATGAATGAACACTGGAAGTTAATCAATGTGAAAAAGTCCATATGATTGGTTGTTTGGTTTATGATACAATCAATAAATAAATATAAGATCAGATAAATTTAGATTTTTAAAATTTTGTATGCAAAATATTTCCCATATTCTGAAGTAGGAGAATCGGTTAAATTACATGTTGAACACTGAATTAGATCAAACTGTTGATACATTCTGTTTCCAGCACCTATCCCATATTTTGTTGAGATATAATAATAAATTAGTTGAATATAGATTTTTGGAAATTTTTAAACATCACTGTAGGTTTAACATTTAAAAGAGCAAAAACTTGTTCATGAATACTACTTACTTAAGCTACTAATTCGCCTTTATTATTTTTATTTATGTAGAAACGAATCCAGAATAGGGACATTATACGAATATAAATATTACAGTAAATAATTCTAAGTATCTGTGATTGAAGCTTACAAATATAACTGTTTCACCACAATTTTGATAGGATTAGAAATAAATTCAAAATAATTTAGTTTAATTTTCATCGAAGTTTTTAGCATTATAGATTTCTTTCTATATCCTTGCCCCATTTACAATACATCCTGGGTGTTAATTTAATTAAATCAGAAGTTTGTGATAAAGCAGAATTTGAACCTCAATGTGAGATTGTATTGTTTCTAAAATGAAGAATGTCTAGTAAACGCAATACAATTAAACATCATGTTATTGTAAACAACACAAGTCTATGTGGCAAAGAGTCATAAGTTCCTGAAAATGTAAAAAAAAGTAAGTCCAAATCCAGATAAGTAAGTTTATTTCCAACACATCAAGTACCTTATAATAAATTTGTACTAAAAGTAAGAAAGTTACATCATTAGTATCAATATGAGATTCATGTTGAGAGCTGAAAAGGAGAGGTGTGCGAGCCTGATATTTTGGATTGAGCTGTGTTCCGAGTCGAGGTTTTTGAAAAAAAGGCTCGATTCCAAGGAACTTATTTATATAGGCTAACATTTTTTGTAATGCCTTATTATAAATGAATTTATCTTTCTTTTAACAGAAGAATCATAAAAATATGTCAAGTCCAAGTGGTTGATTCAAAATTTGCAAATAAAAAACCCTCCCATGGTTTTATAAGATCCCAATAATAAATAATTCCCTACTTAACTTATTAAAATTAAAATTTTTACTAGGAATCATCCACCTAATACATTAGCAAGCAAGTCGTTATTTGAAACAAATGTAGGTAGATATTTTACAATCGACAAAAATCAAAAAGTGATCACAGTAATTTTGTGATAATCCCCCCACCCCCCAGTCTGGGAAACATAATCATCTTCCTCAGGCAAAGCTAAATTTGCAATTCACAAAAACATCCCCACGGACTTGTTTACATCATCGTCAATCACAGTAAAATCCTGGTTATATCTCACGTTACGGATACATCATCATTGCCTCTCACAATCTGTGAAAACATGAACGTTTTGATGGCGCAATCTTTGAAGACGGGTTGCACGATTGCGATATCAAAACAGTCTGCGACTGGTACGTTCGCACACCTCTAGTGAAAAATGTATAAAACAAGACAAAGCAAGAGGAAAGTGTCAATCAGTAAAAGTTTAATCTTAACTTAATCAAAATAAAAGTTCTTGTAGTACAGTCAAATCACCAAACATATATCGTAAACACTAACACTAAAGTCTAGTAAATGTGAGTGAGTGCGGTTGACCCAGTATCGTACTCTGTAAGTCTAAGTCAAGACTCAATTAACTCGGACCACTGTAAACACATAAATCATTAAAGCAACATAAGCATAAGCAAAGCGCACTAGATGTATGGAAAGTTGGATACCATTCAGTACAACTGTAATCCTACTAAGTTTCCAGTATTTCAGTAAGTACTGTACAGAAAAAAATTACAATTCCAGCATGTATTTGTATTGGACATACCTGAACAACATTATTGTCAGTAAAATCATTCGTTCAAATAGGATGTTGTAGAGAATTTATACATAAAATCAATGTAGCTGTAAGTTAAAACATACTTTGTTCAGTAATAAGTTATTGCAGCAAATGAAATGAGTAAGTAAGTTTACACTCTTTCTTGTCACTAGTCAGTCATAAATTTTCTGACTCTTATCATGATATTTGTAAACTAAGTCAAAGTTTAAACGCACAAGCAAGCAACAAAAAGGCAGCTTACCTGAGATATTTAATTACCAGGATCCATTTTTAAACGTTTCCGACTGTCGTTCTTTGGAGGGTCGGCCAAAGACACCTTCAACCTCATCTGACACACGTCGGCTCCATGTAGCATCTGGGTTTCAAAATTCACCATTTGTAATCAGATAAAAACTGTTTGGTTATCTAGAAATTTTGGTGTTGGCTATACAGAGTTTATTATTTCATACTTCCTCAGATTACGCTAAGTTTTGGTCCAGTAAGATTAAAAAGTCAAATAACTTAACCAAAAACAACTAAACCAAAATGATTAAAAATTTTAGTCATAGCTGAGAAAAAAATCACTTCTAACATCACTAATCCAACCTGATCGAGTCAGAGCGGATTTGACAAGAAATATGACTTAACGACCGTGGGAAAATCAACAATCAAACTATAAAAATACTATTGACATAATTATCAAACCTAAACTGAACTGGCAACATGCAGTTCAAACAGATGCTTGGTTAAAAAGTAAAAACAAATGTACTAAAATGGTTTGAGAAATTTTTGCAACATATCAGAATTAGTCGTAATTTTTAGGCTTAAGAAGCCGGTGTCATCGCTCAATACTCGGTCTTTAAGCGAGAGGTGTGTCAGGTTCGTATAATATACACTATGTACAAAACCAAACTTTTCGCCCATGCTGTAATGTGGAATACTCATTGGCAAAGCTAAAGCAGATGAGACAGTATCAGCTTTGTCACTGAGGATATATCATCATAGCATGGGCAAAAAGTTTGGTTTAGTACATAGTGTACCAACTTGACGCGGCGCTCACCAGAATACAGAATATTTAATGATTAGCTGTTTGGATTAGCTTTAAAATTTCAAATGTCATTGAGCAGAGTGCTTTTAGCTCATAGTCTTGGCTTACAAATCAACTGATTTTGACAAACACCAACATTTCACATGAGTTTTACCGTTACACACACACCTTGTATTCATTCAAATTGACCAGTAAATAAGCTAAAAATGAGTCTGTGTGTGTGTGTTGGTAGACACTGTATGTTGCCATACATGTTGCATACAGCGTGTATGTTGCCATTAGATAAATCAATATGGCTATCCAATATTCACAAATTGGAATACCTTAGTCAATGTAATTATAGGATATATTGCATGTAAATAAAAATTAAATTACATTTGGCAAAGTTTAGGCTACTGTAAAGATTAAAACTAGAAAAAGACATGTTGGCTAAAGCAAATAATGAACGAATTATGGAATTACTTCCTGAAAGTCAAAAGAAGCCAATAATTAGAATTGTAGCAGGGAATACTAGCCAATGGTTAACTGTGACACCATGTGCATCTGATCATACGGATTTGTCCCCGGATCAATTCAGAGATGCTTTGTCAATTCGCTATGGCCGCACACTAAGAAATTTACCAGTACGATGTGATGGTTGTGATCAACCTATGAATCTTACACATGCATTAAATTGTAAAAAAGGAGGATTGATCAAACATGGGCACGATCAACATCGAGACCACTGTGCTGCGATAGCAAATATGGCCTGGAAAGGGGTTGAAGTCGAGCCTATTATGAGAGAAGCTGACCCTGCAAACAATGTGCCTGCTTTAAAAGCTGATTTTAAAGTTAATGGTATTTGGGAGGCTGAGAGAGTAGCGTTTTTTGATAATCGCATTGTTAATGCTGACGCTCCCTCTTACGCCAACCAAGAATGGGGAACAATATCTCGAAACCATGCCGTTCAGAAACACAATAAATATGACAAAGCAGCCGAAGACATCAGAGGAAGCTTCACACCATTAATATGTTCCACGGAAGGAGTCCCCCACAAAGAATATGAAGCGTTTCAGAGGAGAACAAGCGAAGCCCTGGCTGTAAAATGGAGAAAACCATACTCCCAAATTATCGGATGGTTGAGGATCCAAAGCCAGCTTTCCATCATTCGAGCAGTTTCGCTAAGGCTACGGGGAACTAGACGAAAAATTCGAAGCATTCAATTTGAAGATGGTGCCGCAATTCCCCCATTGCTCTATTGAGCTTTCATTTTATTTTTTTTTAACATTTATATTTGATTGAAAATCATAGTCATATGTTGAATTGTTTGAAATGTATAAATAAAGTTTTTTAACTTCTTATTTCAACAAGTAATTATTTCACCTCCATTGCCCTCTCAGCTGATTCCTTCTTTGCGTAGTTGACAAAACCGCAGTTCTTTCCGTTGATTATGTAGACATCAACAAGATCTCCGAAACGGCCAAAAACGTCCCACAGTGCATTGCGAGATGGCATAGAAGGCTGGCCTACAATAAATAGTCTGAAACACAATTTATTGTGAATAATTATTCCACAAACCAATATATCAGACTTAGAATATAATTAATTCTGGAGAGTTTGTATATGACATTTAAGTTACCCAAAAATAATACATACAGAGGAACCTTGACAGCAAATTTCTTAATGGGGCTAATCCAATCTATATATTTATAGGCAAGCATGTTTCTTTAAAACCTTTTTTCTCAGCTCATGTGCATCGCAGGGAAAATCTACGCATACCGCTGGAAAGATATTTTCCTGTAGAAGTGCAGAATCCCTTTAAAAATTAAAATAGGCTCTAAAATAAACACTACAAATGAATTTTAAATTTGAAAAAATAACACGACCTCTAGTTATTATAATTAAGTTAACTCAACACATAAAATAAACTAGAAAGCAATTTATGTTCTCTATAAATAATTTTACAATCAGAAATTCGGTTAACGGGTTCTCAATTTTCAGTTAAGTGAATTTCATCTCAATTAGTCAATTAATAGCAAACTGCAACTAATATAAAATTAACAACCTATTGGAAAATTACCAAACATTTAAGTTATATCAAGAACAATTCTTATATAATTGTAATGACAATGGAAAGGGTCTTATTTTTATACAAAAAATGATGTAAAGAAAACAAAATTTGTTTTATTAGCTATGTTACTTTTTACCTTTCGACAGTTTTGGATTCAACTCGTGCGAGGGGTTGAGGAGGGGGAAGTCTGACGGAGCAGAGGGAAGGATCGTAATTGTCTGATCCTTGACCAGGACCCATCCTGCTTGCTCCTGCCAAAGCTCCTGAAATATAATGTTTTAGAAACAAACTATAACCTTTTGACTATTGATACAACTAGACATTCCATCCCAATTTTGAAGTTGTCGCCAGTTTTCAGATTGTGCTGCTCTAATTTAATAGTTTCTGTCAAATACACAACAATTTTAGACACTAGAGCATTCTGTGACTGGCTCACACAACTATGTTCTTTTTTAGTAAAAAATTAGGGACAACTATAACCTTTTGACTATTGATACAACTAGACATTCCATCCCCATTTTGAATTTGTCGCCAGTTTTCAAATCAAAATGTTCATAGCCACAGACAGATTATGCTGCTCTAATTTACTAATTTCTGTCAAAACACAATTTTAAACACGAGAGCATTCTGTGAATGGCTCACACAACTATGTTCTTTTTAATAAAAAAATGGTGACAGCTGGTCCGTATAGTCCGGTGGCTTAGTGGAATTACCGTTACATGGCGGATAAAAGCATCAAATTTGGTATGAAGGTACCTTAGGGTATACTAATAAATTTTAGCCTAGGAGCCCTTTTGAAATTTTACATATTTCCCTACACGGCCCCAAAATCCAAAATGGCCGACAAATACGAAAAAAAATCCTTTTAAAGAATCCTTTCCACTGTTAACTCTAAATTATAACTTTAATACAACCAAGACTATACAAAACAAACCAAAGATACACTAAACTATATGTAAGAAATCTTATGTGTGTGTGGGTGCGCGTGTGTTTAAGTATTTTATGTAACACAACCTGTACTGGACATTGCGCAAAAAAGGTAAATAAAAACCAATTGACTTTAAATTTGGTGTGGACTTTGTTAGTATCATACGTCAACATTTAGATCGATTTGCATCTATTTTTATCCATATTTTTTTACATTTATACTTTAATTATTTTTATATTCCATATTTATTTTTTATGTTTTAAATATATTTTCCGAAATTCCTGTAGGTCCCTTTATTGTTCTTCCAATTCCTAATGTAATTCTTATATAATAAAGTAGAGTAGCATTTAAACTTAACTTTATAACTCTTTGGTTTGTAACAAAAAGGTTTTTTTTTTTAATTATACAATGTTTGTTTAAAAATATTGTTTTGTTTTAACTATTACGCCCAATTAACTACAACCGAGCAAGGCTTGGTCAACCGGACTTTGCTTACGTATTTAACATAAAAACATTTTAATGCCGTAATAGTTATAAATATACACTGTCTTGTGTCCAGGGAAAATTCGAAAAATAATGCTAAAGCTCATTTTTGGCAAAAAAGCACAGTTACATAATTTTAACTTTTTTAAGCTAAATGAAGTTTGCATTAACACCAAAACATTTAATTTATTTAATAACACTGTAACACTGCACAATGTTAATAAATAAATTACAAAAAATTTATGTATTTAACAGTCTGGGGTTTTTAAAGACTAGTAAAAGAAAACTAATAAAATCAAGATAAAATCATTGCTTTCCATGAAAACAACCAATATATAGGTTGTCCCGTTTCCACTATGATAAATTTTACCACGTTATAGCATGTTATAGCTAACTTCGGAAGTCCAAAACAAATTACGTTATGTTAAAATATAACATGTTTACTTTCTCGAACCGTTTTTGGTCTATCTATCTGTGTGTGTTTTTTACTAAATACATCGCATTTAACAACCTATATAACATGTATATTCATATGACTGTTAAATATTAAGCTTGAAAAAACAAACGACCGCTGTGTTAAAATGGTACAAAGTAGAAACGTGATATTCCATAAAGAGGTCTTATTAAATGTAATACATGTGCCAAGTTTGAAGTTTATATATTTAAAGGGTGTTGAGATATAACGGTTTGAGATAGGAAACATGATATGTTAAAATTTTTGGCTCTTTGGGTTCTTGAATGACCTGGTAAAATTTGTCATAGTAGAAACGGGACACCCTGTAAAGTATTCTAATACGAGCAAGTATCCCTCTCTCTCTCTCTCTCTCTCTCTCTCTCTCTCTCTCTCTCTCTCTCTCTCTCTCTCTCTCTCTCACACGCTCCCTCCCTCTCTCTCCCTCTCTCATGCCTGTTTGAAAATCTTTCTCGATTTTGCTGAAAGTTTGGTTTTAGATGCTTTTGGGACTACAAAATTGATTATTCAAAGATAAGGTAAATGATTTTTCTTTAATTATTTTTTTTATGGAATGCAATTTTCTCAATAAAATCAAGCAGTGAATACAGATTGCAATCACACCATCTCTGATGGGTTGTACCGATTCGTTAAGATTAATAAGATATAAACTGCTATGTTACATGAATTATTTAATATACTTTTTATCCACAATGTCATATGAAATAGAATAAAGAATATTGTATATACAAATCAACAATATTAGCTGAAAATGGTAGTAAACACATCAGTATAACGTAACACAAAAAAACGCAAAACGTAAGGCTAGGATTATACTAGGACGCTAGCGTCCGAGAGGCTGGCGTCCGGGACGCTAACGGGGCATTAAATCAAATGGGGGCGATTATACTAGGGATGCCAGCGTCGGATGCTAAAAAAGCCACCGGACGCTCGATTTTGTGCCTCCTTGGGAACGGGGTTTTATGGGGTAAAAAAGGGGTTTTGTCATATTTCTCCCTAGGTAATTTTAATTAGCTTAAAAACATATAATTAAGTAAGTTATATTAAAGTGTTTTTGTACGGTTATTCGTTACGGATAAAATTCAAAGAAGGGTAAATTAAAAACTCCCATGTTATTCTTATGGAAAATAATTTGCTTGTGTATGGATATATTTTGGTCAAACTTGGCCAATTTGTTTCATACTAAGCTATTAATATTTTACTAAAAACACACAATATTAGCCTCCTTAAAGCAGCAAATCTGGGTACTCGTTAAACCTAATGTTATTTAAATAGATATAAAAAATTTACAAAACATTGAAATAAAATGGCAGTCCGAGAGGCTAGCGTCCCAACACAAATCACTTAATTTATCGGCTCGAAGTGGGACGCTAGCGTCCCGGACGCCAGCCTCTCGGACGCTAGCGTCCTAGTATAATCCTAGCCTAACACATAGCATCAACAAACTGCAACAATAGAACGCAACATTAACTGCGTCTCAAAAAATGAAAAACAGCTGTTTACAGTTATGACGTTTAATGCGTATGCGGTACAAATATTGATCAGTACGGTTCAACTACCTAATCAACACAACATCACAATAATCTAGTGCATTTTTGTTATTTGTAATAGTAGTCTCTCATAAATATATATTTCCACGTGATTTTTGAACGTATTTGTCGGCCATTTTGGATTTTGGTGCCGTGTATGGAAATTGTTAGGAATTCAAAAGGGCTCCTAGGCTAAAATTGATAAGTATACCCTAAGGTACCTTCATGCCAAATTTGGTGCTTTTATCCGCCACGTAACGGTATTCGTAAACTAAAGCCCTAAGCTACTGGACTAGTATAGATGGGATGTAAGTATGTTCAGTATTCAATAGTCAATGCTATAACATTCAGTTAGATCTTTCACTCTTCATTCTTACAGCTATTTGTTTGTCCCACCTTCACATCTTAGGACTGAAACCATTTTCATTTTACACATTACTTCAGAATAGGGGTAGAGTGCTTGTGGCATTGTCACATAGATTAAATCCATAAGTTGGTGGAATTTTATTCTGAGACCCTGAGGACCGAGGTCCTGCATTCTACCATTAGACCAGGTGATTCCATAGTGATTAATAATAAGCTGTTGACAAGGGGAGGGGGCGCGAGAGAAAGTCTACGACACTAGAGTACGAGAGTCATTTAAGCTTGAGCAGATCATATGCCAGATAATTTTGTTACCATTTAATCATAAGAAAACGTTCAATCATCTTTTTAAGAAAATTAAAGAACTAAAAAAGAAGTTGCAAACACTAAACTAACGAAGCGACAATGATTCATATAGAGGAGTTGATTATTAATTGAATTGTTAATAAATAGTACACAATATACAGATTCACTAAAAACAAAATCACTATTATGCTATTAATTTTCTTCACAATTTTCCCAGAATTGTGACTTTTATCCTCCCCTTATATATTTAATCAGGAACAGACTTGAGTATTATAAATAACTAGGTGAAACTTGTCGAAATCGACGATTACTTTCAAGGCTTACGCTAATTCATCTAACTGTGATAAATTGAGTGAAATTATACTTATTTTGAGTATTTAGCATTGTTCAAAGAGTAATAATTTTAAAAACAATATATTAATTGTGTTAGTTACCAAAAAGGGTTGATCAATGAATAAAATATTTCCCATACCGTACGTCATTGCTGACATGCACAATTGTGCTTTACTATAAATAAGAAATAGCTTTTAAAGCTTGTAAAGACATACCTCCGACTTGCAGTTTTATCATGTTGGTAGCCTCGGCTAGGGCTTTAGTCAGTGTTGCCAGCTCCTGAGTGATCTCAGGTGCAGACTTAGCGGCTACGAGACCCATAGCGTCTCTCTTGCCTGACACACCTCCAAGCAACCTGAAAATCACTCCACTCTTAACACAACACCGTCCGATCACAAGGGATCTATCAGTTCCTTTCAATAATTTTCTTTTATTCAGATTATATCAATTTCAGCAGCATTAGAGTTTCAATCCTGTTTTGGTGAAAAACTCATTATTTACAAGCTCGGCATGGTTTGGACATAATAGCTATTTGTGTATCAACAGTGTAAAATACGTCATCGCCTCTCGAGAACTGTAGATGGCTGCACGAAGCTTTAGCTGAAAGAGCGGTAATGAATGTTCGTGCTCTTAATACACACAAGATTTTTCCCACCACCATAATTAACTTATCATAACACACAAATTAAATTTTTAGTATATTATAAAATGTCATTTAGGTGATGTTATTTGCTTACAGGATGTTAGTATTTTATAGAAACGCCAACAGTGAAATCTGCTGATTTAGCAAGAGGGAATGAATAAAGCGGAAATGAGCTATTTTCTGTGTACTGTACAGGTGTTTACACGTAATGTGATTATTTCCATGCAGTAGTAGGACAAATTGTGGTTCACTGGCCATGAATAGTTGGTACACATGTTTTACCTTTTCCTTAGGCATATTTATTCCCTGTATGTGTTTATTCAGTGTATTAACTATAATAAACAGACTTGTAATTTCACTGGTTTCCAAGTCAGTTTTTATATTCCTGAATAAGCCTCCGAAATTTAGTTTAGACATATCATAAGTGTAAAAACTACTCTAAAACGTTGTAAAATTTTCATTTTTCTCCAAACCATTGATTTAATTTAAAAAATCAAATAATTTGATAAGACCCGCTATTGTTCCAGCATTTACTATTGGATACTGAAGGTTCCAGGCTAAAAGGTAACTAAAACAAGCAGAAAACATAGTATACATTTTGACCATTTGTATAAACTGAGCATTAAATTAATCATAAATGTCCAATATGACTTACCCGTCCGAGCCGTCATATTCTGATTTTACAACGATTTTCTTTCCAGGGGGATATTCAAAACCATGCAACTTTTCCAAAGCGTAGGATGCGGCGTTGGGACTTGCATACTCTAGGAGGACTCTTCTCAGTAAAGGCTGAAATAGAAAAAAAAACCTTCACCCAATCAAATTCATCATTTTTATATAGAATTTAAAACATCTATCAAGCTAAAGGTGGAATAATTTTTGTAACCTTGTGGCGAAATTTCCCACATAGGGAATGAGCTATTACCGTAGGTCTCGTGGTAAGAACTGGACTCTGGACCTATTTATTTTTTGTTTTGATGTCCCCAAAAGCAAAAAAAACCATCCGTTCATATGTATGTGTCCATTAGCACGATTACTCGAGCAAAAATTATCCCATTTTGATTAAATTTGGTACAAACGTATAAACCTTCATTTATTCTAACAAGTTTGCGAACCAGCATAATCGTACTATGGGAACGGGGGTTTGGAAAGGGTTTATGGGGTAAAAATTTATTTTATACCATTTTTGAGAATAAAAACATCCAATTGAGCAATTTATTACCAAACTATTTTGTAGAGCTTAAAAAACAAATAATTAAGTGTATTATTAAGGCGTTATTAAAATGGTTACGGAGAAAATATAAAAAATTTGTTAATTTAAAAAACTGTTGTAGTTTGTTTGTTTGTGAACATATTTTTATCAAATTTGGAAAATTCATTTATTTTATACTAAACACTATTAATATTTTACAAAAATAAACTTTTTAACCTCCCTGTTGCAGCATCGTAAGTACTCGTTAAACTAATGCTATTTAAATAGCGAATAAACATGATATTTTTAAGGAGAAATTTTAGTGTAAATCCAATCAGGCAAATGGAAATTTGCTTGGTCTGCAGGTTTGCTGCGGTGGGGTTATTTATCCATTGAATGTTGGTAAAATATTTAGTTCAAATTTTCAATAACTTGTTTATAAATGATTTGTTGTTGGCGTAGGAAGGAGACATTCTCATTCATAGCAGTCAGTGCCCTAAGTTTGTAAGTAATTCTTCTCTTCAAAAAACTTGCAGCATTTGGTTACCTTAAAAATCCTGTTTCTTTGTAGAAAGAAAATATCCCTTGCTTCTTGCTATGATTTTTTAAAACATGTTATGTTTGGCGATTTTGTGAAGCATAGACGGTGCAACTGAATTTGCTTAACTTTTTTTCACTTCTGTTGGTGGAGTTTATTTTTGTAATAAAACGAGAGTTTGGAATCTTATTTCCAATTTGTATTCCACATAATTCAAATTTACAATCACTGTTAACCTTTTTTTTTTGTTTTTTGTTGTTAAAAACCCATAAGAACACAACTTTTATAGTCTCTGCTACCACAGACACCAACTACTATGGCTATTATAGTCAACTTGCCAGTTGTAAGGTTAAAAATAGAAACTTCAATATGACTATGTTACCTAAATTCCAAAACTTTCTGAAATTTCCCAAAAAAATGTATTAGTAAATATCTGAGATACACGTCTTGGTTTAAAAATTTGAATTATTTAGAACTGATGGATCATATGCAAAATTTCAAGATATTACCTAAATGTTTTATTTTTTATTAGAAGACAAGAATCAATTCATACAGTAGAAATGCTTGAATTGGTACCGTACAGAATTACCTCTCTTGCAAAACTGTACTTACAGTGCGATTGTAGTTTGTTGATTCGTTAACAAACCGACAGATCTTGAGTCCAGGCACGAGGTCAAACAAACGTTCAACTTGGTCCTCGGACAACTGAGTAGACACCAGGGCCGTGAGACGAGCAGTGTCCAGACGACCGGAGTAGTTGTTGATCAGGTCCATGGTGCTGGGTCCGGGGTAGCCTAACAGACGATATCATAAAATATCACAGATAATAAATGTTGGTAAAAAAATTAACGAACTACTGTTTCTGCAAGAATGGCAAGATAAACATGACTAAAATCATAATAAAAATGTTAACTAATAACAAAAGGTTGATAAATATGAAGCAAGTTTAACAAAATTGTCAAGTTAACAATAATAAACTTGTAACAAGGAAAACTACTGAACTGACTGGGTTGAAATTTTACAAAGGGGTAGAACCCTGGCCTAAAAATTAGTTTATTCCGTTCTTTAAATGGTAACAACTGACCAACCTAAATAAACCTATTAAAAATCGGTTCATTTAATTTATGAATAGTTAAGTTAGTTTAGTAATGAACTAACAAAGTTGGTGACAGAACAGTAATCAACATTTCAACACTTTCATTTTCATTCACAATGTAAAATAATTTACGTCCTCGCTTCAAGCAATAAATAGAAAACAAAGTAGGCTACCGTATCACACGTTATAAAAAAAATTGTCCTAGTTCAACTATGCTTTCACCAAAAAATACTTCACCCAACCAAACAAATCTATAAAGGTAGGCCTATCTGCAGCTATAGTTTCTGTAAATATATTTTTTTGTACTAATTTCTTTCATGTATTAATGGCGGTTTTCAAACAATAACTTTCAAATCAAGCTTTTTCAAATAAAAACATTAAATACACAAAAAACACATTACAAAAATGTCAGAAACCTTGTCGACTGTGCGAAGCCATATCCATGAAAGGCGGTGGAGATGGTTGTTGCATTGAATTAAATGAGTTGGACTGCATGGAATTGTACGGGCGGTCAAACGGGTCCATGTAGCGATCGTGGTGATTGGACTTTTTCTGGAAGTCTTGCTCCTTGGGCCGTGCAAAGACAGCCTTATAACTACGATTGCACTCCTCAAATGCTGTGGCAGCGTGAGAGACTCTTGAAATTATTGAAAAATACATTAATTAGTAAAATTAAAATGCCACTTAAGTGACATAAGAGAATATTTAACTGTAAGAAAAAATTAACTGTAACAAAATAATTAATTACTAAACACTTACTTTTTGTACTTAACAAAAGCGTAGCCTTTGCTCTCCTTAGTTTCTCTGTCTCTAATGACGGAGATGTAGTCAATGTCACCGTACTTTTTGAACTCAGCATTAATATCGTCTTCGCCAATACTCTTAGGAACCACAATAAACAGCCTGAGAAGTCGCTCCATATCATCAGACTTGCCCATCAGATTAGGCTGGTCTCGTCTGGAAAATTAGCATACTAATATGTTAGCCAAATGTAATTAAATTCAAAGTTTAGTCATAGACTTATCAATCATTTAGACAAATCATTTTAGCTATTCAGTGTTTTGAGAAGCAATCCAACCAATAAAAATTGGCTTGTAAACACAACTCTTTGTAAAGTTTTTCTTAAAAATTCATTACCGGTACCCCGTAAAATAACTTTGTTCGTTACATAAAAAATTAAGTTAGGTCTATAGATATGTTGATTTGTTAATTATTTACTAATAACTTATTAATCTTATAACACACGATTTAATGAACACATTTTATAAATGAATAGCCTACTTAAATAATTAAGTAAATCTGCAATGAGTGATTATCTATAAAGCTGGAAAGCTGGATTCCGTGGGGGTATCAGGGATAGTAAGAGAATGGTTTCAAAGCTACCTTACAGACAGGAGTCAGTTTGTAGAACTAAGGCACAGAGATAACAGCTTAATAAGAAAAACAAGATCAAATTTTCAACCAATAAATCGAGGAGTTCGCCAAGGGTCAGTTATGGGTCCGGTACTGTTTATTCTTTTTACCAACGATTTGCCGAAACAAATAGGAGACGCCTGCCTTACTCTTATGTATGCTGATGACACAACCTTAGTTTTTAATGAACCACTAGCTGAAAATCTAGAAGTAAAATCCTATGTGTCACTCAGTATGGTCTACCAATACTGCTATAACAATGATCTTGCAGTAAACACGTCTAAAACAACTCAAAATAGCTTTTGACCGTAAATCTCAAGAAGTGCCACAACTCCCAGATGTAGAAGTGGAAGATGAAGCTAAGTTTTTGGGCATCACACTCGACAAGAATTTAACCTGGACCCCTCATGTGGACAATATATGTAAAAAATTAAGTTCAACCATCTATGCTCTTAAACATATAAAAAATGCAACAGATGACATGACAACAAAAGTAGCATACTTTGCACTTTTCGAGTCGCATATGAGATATGGACTTGTAGCATGGGGTGGAACCTCTGCCACTAACATGCAAAGAGTTCTCAGAAAACAAAAAAAGGCAGTCAGAATAACTGCAGGACTCCACAGACTCGACAGCTGCAGGGAAGCATTCAGGTCACTCAAAGTACTTACCCTTGCACTCTACATCCAGGAAGTTGTGTTATTTGCAGTAAGAAATAACCCTACAAGGCGTGACGAAATGCACCAACACAACCTGAGAAACACCATGCAGTACAACCTTCCACAACATCGCACGGCACAGTTTGAAAAGAAACCTTCATACGCAGGAATGAAAATCTACAACAGGCTACCTCCAGATCTAAGAAGCAAGTCAGAAGATGACCTCAAACCAGCTTTGCATCAATGGCTCATTAATCGACCTTTCTATTCCTTAGAAGAATACCATCAACAGGTCTTTGACTAAACAACACCTCAACCACACATATTAGAAAAAATTGTAAATTGACGCTACTACTATTCTTAATGAATGTGTAAATAAAGATTGATTGTCTATTGTCTATTGTCTATAGGCTATTATTGATAAAAGAATTTGTTGGATTTTTGTATTCAGCAAATCGACCCATTTATTTACACATTTAATTTTACATAGACATATTGGGTATCAATTTAAAGCTCTTATCCTCTAGATGTGCCTTTTGCTGGTTTGGATGGTATCCTGTAAAAAATCCCTTCGACCTATAGACTTTTAAAATTTCATAGTTTCTGCTGAATTCTGTTGTCAAACATCTGAAATTTTTTAAGTTTACGTTTGTTTATATCAAAACAGATGACAATTTTGTTTACACATCCATACAAGAATGGGGTTATTGTTACAGTTAGTGGTGTTTTAGTGAATTCAATTAAGTTATTGTATGTTATTTGTATAAAATGTAAAGAAGAAATTGACTTCAAATAAGTTTGATTCACTATTTTATGCATGATTTTATATTGTACTGGAAATACTAGTTACAAAGTTACGTTCAGGGTTTGCTTAATCTTAAAAAATTAAAAGTCTGTGACCACTAAATGATTAGCATGCAAAAATAGATAATTTTTAACTTAACTCAGGTCAATAGAAAATTTTAAATTAATTCAAATATCACAGATTTTAAATTCACAAAGTGACTCCGGCTGCTAGTGTGTATTTAAAAAAAACACTGTAACTGTGTCTGTAGAAGGTAAGTTAGGTAATAAAGATACAGAGTTGCAGCTGATGGTACCGGTTTTAAGCATTAACTTACATGTTGTTAAATCCTAGTAAGCAAATAAATTATTTTGTAAAATAAAACTAAGAACTAATGATAAAATTGGCACTTACGAAAGAGCTACTGTGACTTTTATAGGTTTAGAATGTCCGTCAAGAACTTGTCCGTTAAGTCCTTCCATCGCACGAGCAGCATCTGATGTTTTAGTAAATTTAATGAAAGCAATATCTGAAATTGTAAATCAAATATTAGAAATAAAAAGTGCATACAGTAACGTTTTAAAACAATTTTTATAACAAAATAAGGCTCATCTGTTATCTGTTACAATAGTCCCACTAGATTCTTTATCAAATAAAGTTTTAGTTTGTCAGTAAGTTAGGCAAACTAACTTATTTAGGCTAACATCATAAGTTAGGTTAGTAAAAATAATTAATTATACATGGTGAGGCAGTGAAACGGCACGATTTTGAAAATTCACAAACAATTCATATAGGCCTATACCTACAGTAGAAAAAAATAGGCTATACTTAGTTGTCTTATGATAAATCTTAAGCACATGAGTGGAAATTAACGTTTCAACTTAAAAATAATTATTTTGTTTGATTTAAGGTCAGTAAAATGGGGTCCTTGGTTTTGCACATATTGTTGAATTCTGAGATGAAATCCACCTTTGAAGTTTTTGGCGTTTGCAAAAACGTCTGCAATTGTTTTGTAGCGCTTTGTTGTGCTAGCAGTGGCTTTAAAGTTATTCATCCAAAGAGGGATAGCTTTTCTTGATAGCATTGGAGCCTGTGGCGATAGACTGAACTTACAACAGAAAGTGAACTGAGCACAAATCCCACTATTCTCGTTTTTTTAAATATGCCTTTACAGCAAACACACGTTGTACGATCGTCCAACCCTTCATGGCTACTGAAATTTCCACTTGTCTAGATGCCTAAGGTCATTTCCACTGTACTCTAATAGCTCCCTATTACGGCTTGTCAGCTGGTGACGGAATCGTGCCGTTTCACTGCTACACCCTGTGTACTACAAGAAAAATAGCTAGTTTAAGGGTGCGCTCTACCTCAGCTCGGATTTCTCAGTCCAATGTTGCTTAACGCCGATGTTCCTACCATTGCACTGAACAGAGAGTGCTTGCAAGCTTTTTGAATCTGGTTGATCACCACATCGTTATCCTTAAACCTTTTAAGAAACTGACTGCAGATTCTTGTTAAAAAACTATTGCACTCTCCCTGTTTGGTATGTTTTTCCTAAAATAACAATTATTTGAAGCCTATTCGTTAAAACTTATGATTAAAAACGCATATTTTAACATTTTTACCAAACTTTTAGCCCAAAATCTTTTTAAAATATCTAAATTTTAAAAAGCGCAGGACCTACAATAATGTTTAACGAAAAGTATGACACCAAGATCTTTTAAATCGGTTCACATGGGGCTACAAATAGTAAGAACCAAAACCCTTGCATTTGTGCGCGCCAGACCGGTAGAGCGCAACCTTAACATCAACATTTCTAAGGGTGGAACCTTGGAGGATGAACAATTTTCTATCCACTCCATTAAGTTACCAGTACCCAATGAAGTCTAAGAAGTAAGTTAGGCCTATATATCAATATCAAACTTTAAATCTGAACCCTATGTTAAGGCCTGAAAAGTGCCTAATCTAAGCTAGGCTATTGCTTTCATAAACTAAGAAAAAACTTAAGCTTTGATAGAAGGTAGACTTTTGGACTTGGATCAAGTTTTGGTACAAAACAAAACTCTTATCATAAAACTTTTTGATAAAAATACTAGGCCTATAGAACCTTTACACCAAGTATTAGGCTTACAATGTCTTAACCCATTGGCTGCAACTAAGATTTGCCATTTGTCAAGGGGCTGTCTAAGTTATGCCCCTAAACGCTGGAACGTAGTAAGATAAGTTTAGACCTACATTACTTGCCTCAGTATTAAGTTTACTATAACTTAGGCCTACTTAGAACTTAAATAGACCATAAACCTAGTTTCTTAAAATTGGTCCATGCTCAGAAAGTTGGTTGTCACATCCCCCGCTAGGCCTATCTGTACAGCCAATGTTTTTAAAAGCATAAAGGACTAAACAGTACAGTAACTTCGACCTTAGAGGCTAAAATATCAGGAATGTGAATTTATTTGGGCAGAATTCCGCAGAGAACCGAAGATATATTATCGGATGAATAATATATCGATGTTTATCCGGTTCGATAATAATATTGTATATAAATACCTCGTCACAGCTCTGAAGTTTCTGTAGATTACAGCTGTTTCGGCATCAATATGCCATCCTCACAAATTTGAAACCATATCCACGCCTTATTTGAAATTTACTATGGAAACTGAACAATCAAATAAAATAAATTTCCTGGATATCACAATAGAAAAGATAGATAACAGATTAGATTTTAGCATAGGGCCTATATAGAAAGCCTACCACGTCAAAACAAACCATTCACAGCACGTCTTACCACCCCGTATCACATAAACTGGCCGCCTACAATAGCATGGTATATCGCCTATTACATGTCCCAATGACAGAGTAGAAAAAACATATAACTCAAGCCCCGCAAGGTTAGGTTAGGTTATGTTACGAATTAACCTAACCTAACAGTAAAACTTACCGGTACTGTCACAACTGGCCTTCCGTGCGTCTCCCGCAAGCCACTGTTATCGCGACGACTTTGAACCTTCTTATCGCTCGGCAACCTGTACGATAGCCTTGCGGGGCTTGAATTATATGTTTCTTGTTTTCTGAGAACATCCTTATGACCGTAGTAAAATATGAAAAAGTTTGGGGTTGACCAAGTAATTGCTCAGAATTACCAGAAATTGTGCAAGTTACTTAAATAAGCCTAAGGACGCTTGCTAGACTATTGATTTAGGACGTCCTTAGCCTGTCTAGGCCTATTTAAATTAGACTACTTACAAAGTTTCTTTTAGGGCTTTAAAAGTAACAGAGGCTGTTGTGACTTACTTTTCGGCTCTCCTGTGTGCTTGTCTTTACATATCCACACGTCTTCCACTTCACCATAATGCCCAAAAGCCTCCCTTAGTTCTTCTTCAGATATATCTTTAATCTGGGCGACAAAAAGTCTAGAATTCGGAGGGTCGTCGAGCTTTGAGAATTTGTCATGATCTTTTGAATGACTATCCCTCATTTTTAATAGCTATTATTTAGTTATTAACACTTTTAATCACTATTTGAAATTATGATTTAACAAAAAATGCAGTGCAAGGCCTTAAATATCAAACCAAGTTTCACAGATCACAAACTAAAATTCAGCACGGCAGCTTATACTATACCATACTAATTCGCTTTTGACAACTAGAACTAACTACTCTACTACTCACTATTACTATTCACTAAAATCTACTACTACACTGTACACTGCACTCGCACTGGTCACTGACTTCGACTTGACTTGAGCACTTGACAGACACTTGCACTTAACCTTGACTTGCCTTGACACTCTCGAGTCTCGAGACAAGTCGACTCGCGGACTCGCTAAACCCAAACCGTCGTGTCGTGAAGTTAGCGGCTCTTTTTTTGATTTGTAATAGATACGGGTTGGTACGCCTGTGGACGCCACAACTAACTGTGTTTTGCGGGGATGTCGGAAAAACAATTCAATGACAATATTCAATGACTAAATGATGTTTTTACGTGTATAATGTCAATAATACCTTGACAAAACGTGTATACACGTTAAAACTAATTAATTCATGTATTTTAATAGGCATATTAGAGGCCGTATTTTTATTTTATTTATTTTATTTTATTTTATTTCCCAACGGCATAGCCACTTTACAATGAAAAACATTCACAACTTGAAATTACAGAAAACAAAATAGTAAAAGTTGTAATGTTATATCTATGGTTGTACAAATAGTGAACAATAACAATAGTAGTAACACGTATTGTAACTACGTATTGTACATTATACGTAGCTATGGCTTAACAAAACGCGTTCAATTAAAACTCCTAACATGAAAAAAGTGCATGATCTTTTTCCTAAGCCCATCACATAAACTTTGAGCTATTCTAATGGTAATATACAATGTGTAGAATAATCCGTATAAAATATGGTTGAGGCAGTCCCGTAAATTACGAAGCTATAAGGCCAAATCTATATGGTTGATAGGAACTCGCGTCAGGAAAACGTGCACAATTTATTTCCTAAACCCATCACATCAACTTTGAGCTATTATAATGTTAATATACAGCGTGTAGAATATATTCAGTATGAGTATGATTCATGGTGGAAGGAAAAAACATAGGTGTGCTATTCCCACATATTTTGACGTCACTCGGATTGCAAACAAAAGATCACATGATTGTAACTGTCAAATTAGTATATGTATTTGTTTTGATTTGGTTGTTATTGTTTTTATTATTATAAAAACAATAACAATCAAATCAAAACAAATACATACTAATTTGACAGTTACAATCAGGTGATCTTTTGTTTGCAATCCGAGTGACGTCAGAATATGTGGGAATAGCACACCTATGTTTTTTCCTTCCACCATGAGTATGATTGTGATTGAGATTGATTGCTTTTCATCGGCACTTTTTCGATTTTTGTAATAGATTTTTTTTAGATTTTTTTGGTTGGTACAACTGCGGATGACAGAAAGGCGCTATGCTGGGATGCTGGAAAGTGAAATGCAAATACGTTGCATAATAATGCTTTACATGTATATCACGTCAATAATACCTTGATAAAACGTGTATACACATGCTAAAATAGTTAATTCATGTATTTATATATATGTGTATTTGAGGCTATCTTTCTAAATTATACGTAGCTATAGCTAAATATGCACGTTCAATAAAACTCCTAACATGAAAAAGTGCAAAATATTTTTCCTATGCCTATTACAATTTGAGCAGCTATTCTAATGATAATATACAATGTATAAAATAATATTTAGGATTATGATTGTGGAGCTGGAGGAGGAGGTTCTGCAAATTACCTACTAAGTGTTATGGCTAAATATACAGTTATGATCGGTACTCGCGTCAGGAAAAAGAGCACTTTTTCCTAAGCCCATCACATCGACTTTGAGCTATTCTAATGGTAATATACAATGTGTAAAATAATCTGTATGAGTATGATTGAGGCAGTCCCATAAATTACGAAGCTATGGCCAAATCTATTTGGTTGAAGAGAACACGCGTCAGGAAAAAGTGCACAATCCGGCATAATCATTTTCCTAAGCCCACCACAACAACTTTGTAATATTCTGATGTCAGGTTGACTTGCCCATTGAATGACTGGGTATTTTTGTTTGTTAACTTTACAATGCTCTCTAATGAGAGTATTAATTCCATATATTATTATACCTACTTTTCAGTTGATATTTAAGGATTTGCCCTATATAGCATAAATTGTTCATAAAAGATCAACTACGCATGTAAGAATTGTTTTTTATACACCAAGTCATGAGTCCAGTAAATGACCGATGTCATGCCATTGAATGACCGCGCGGTCCTATGCCAGTGAATTACCGACTTCGGAATGTTTTTAATCACTTATAAAATCAGTAATATACAAAGAAGGCGATTTATATTGTTTAAAAACTTTAACAAAGCTTAAAACATTTGAACCGTAATGGATACGAATAAATTCAACATTATACTGAAACTATTTGTCTATATGTGGCAGGCTTGGGCCAAACAACATGATGAAGCAAATGTCCTCCGTCCAATACATAAACACAATCTTGAGGCCAACTATGAAGGGTTAAAAGAAAAAGCCTAATGCTACATAAAAACATTATCAGAAGTATATAACATTTTACATGTAATCTAAAAAAAAAACAACGTATAGGCCTAGTTAGCTGTTGGAAAAAGGTCTTAAAGTGCCAAAGAGCAATATTCAATCGGGATAAAAAACACCAATCAATAACCCTTTCAATGACAAATGTTAACTATAAAAATAACTATAGATGACTTGATAGAGTCCGGTCATTCACTGGGTAGAACAAAGAAAATTAATTATAATTTTAATCTGGATATTGATAATAATATTTCTTTATAATTTCTGAGCATTTTGATGTTAATTGTAAATTAGAGTCCGAACCCTGTAAATGACCATCATGAGTTAATGAGGTCATTCATTTTGGTTTAGCCCAGGAATCTGTTCCAGCATGTGACCGCTTGAATAAAATCCAACTTTTTGGCTTTTGTATAAAAACAGATAGTTTTAGATTAATATATGTTAATATGCACTCTTAATATTAAGTATTATCCAAAGAAATCGCCTTTTCAACAGCTTTGTTTGAAACCACAAACCACAAAAATGAGGTAATGAAACATGTTATATGTTTTACCACCTGCAGAGTTCTTTATTTGAGTATGATTGAAGCAAATATGAATAGTACTCAATATGATTGATCAGTACTCGCGTCTTGAAAAAGTGCTCAATCTTTTTCCTAAGCCTATCACGATTTTTAGTTTTAAAATGGGGTAGAATAAGGCTGAAGCTAGTCAGGTTTATCCCATTTTACAACTACTAAAAATCGTAATATTTACGATCATTATTTTTATTGATATTATTTAATATTTATTCATTATTTTTATTTATTATTTTAGCTATCGTAATATTTAGTTGAATCATGATGATTTTTTTTCTAACGTTGGTCTTTTCTACCTTAACCTACATAAGATCGGTTGAAGAAATTCAAAAATAAAAATGTTTATGTAAAAATACAAAATGGCGGATATCTGGTTAAAAAAGCGATAAAAAAAATATTCTTGATTTTCTCATTATTTTTACCCATAGAACCTTTCCCGGAGTTATATATATATACATACATTTTTTATCAGTAGCCCATGACAACTTTGAGCTATTCTAATGGTAATATACATTACGTAGAATAATAAGTACGAGTATGATTGAGGCAGTCACGTAAATTACGAAGCTATAGTCAAATCAAATCTATATACAGAAACTCCCGTCAGGAAAAGTGCACAAACTTTTTCCTAGGCCCATCACATCAACTTTGAGCTATTATAATGTTAATATACAATGTGTAGAATAATTGTCATGAGTATGATTGAGGCATGCTCATAAAATTACGTCCCAATGAATGTTTTATGATTATTTGTACCATAGAAAATTCTGTTTTTCTACTGCAATTTTTAAACGGTAAGAGATAGAAAGAAAACTGAAATACGTAAAATGTTTGTTTAAAAACGACCTTTCACATGATACGAAATTTGTTATACCTTGCTATGTAAGAATTTTGAGTTTTCAGCTTTCTTTTATTCTTCAAATTTGAGAATTTTTTTAAAATTAGAAAATAACATGGAAAATGCCCTACTAAAAGTTATCTTAAAGAGTAGCTCAAGAAAATGCTTGGAAAGAAATTTGGCGCTGTTCCGTTCAGTAGTTAGGGTAGTACGGTAGTTAACTTCAGACTCCTTTTTAAAAACGTTTTGACCCACTCTGTAAATACGGTTAAAGAAAATTAATTTTTTTTTTCCTACAGTCACCCGACAAAGTTGGCTTCCTTGTACTGTTTATAGTACAGAAAGCTGCTTATTGCTGCATATTTATACTTTGCCGTACGGTTTATACTTTGCCGTACGGTTTATACTTTGCCGTACGGTTTATACTTTGCCGTACGGTTTATAGTTTGCCGCACATCAGGATTCCAACGAAACAACACAAAACAGCGTGGTTCTATTATGCACGTAATCCGTGTACGCTTGGAAAAAGGTTGGCAACACTTAAAAGATAATAATACTATGAGCAGCTGATTGACTATTATAACTACGATTTAACCTGTCATTTCGTGTTTATAGTTTCGGTATTTCTGAACTTTCTGGACTTTTCTTTTAAACGTTTTCAAAACATTCCTACGATCTTAATAAACAAGAAAATGCCTTTAAAGCATTTTTTTAGGCGCGGAAACCACTTCAAATTACAAAAACATACGGAACTATATTCTCAAAATGCGGAGCACATTTCTTGTCGAGGAAAAATAGCGGAGTGATACGGACCGCGGGTACTACTTTCTCTAGTGCACCATTTGTGTTGCCAGCTGAACCTAAAAACGTGTTGTATAGTGTTTGAAAGACTAATTATTTATATGCTTTGTAGTGACTGTAAGAAAAATATAATGTGTAACACGAGTGAAAAAGGCCTTTGCTGCACTCGAGATCATTCCGAGCCGTGCGTAAACATTGCTCTCGTGTGCAGCAAAGTGCCACTTTCACCACTAGTTACACAAATAACTATTTCGCACTAAAATGATCGGGGTGATTAGACCTTTAAATTGATGTTATCACACAACCCATGTTTACATTTGAAAATTTCTCAAAAAGCACCCCCACC